GGCCTTGCCTGAGTGTATATAAAGATAATTATTCATTAATGTCAGATGAGGAAAGGTTTTTTTTTTTTTTTTTTAACAGAGGTTCTCAATTTTTCCCAAGGCAATTTGTTCAATTATCTTAGAGAAGAACTCTCTGATTTTTTAACCTAAGTATAAGAGCTTGGCATTAGACTGACTGACAAGCAGAGGTGGGAGAAGGGGTTCCATATATATACACACATCCTGTTATTGTTCATTCTCAGCCAGCCCCACTTCTCATTCCCACCTTTGGTCCTACCTGCAATGCCTGACTCTGAGCCTTACTAAGATTCTCCTGGCCATTCACCTATGGCCTTCGTTGCATCCTCTTTCTCATGTGTTCTAGGATGCAGCTTCCTACAGTTTGCTTTATCCTTCAAACTTGCATTTACCTTCCATCATTAGAATTTTGTGAGACTCTCTGGTCCACCTGAGCCATCTTCTATATTTTTTTTTATTCCTTTATAATCCTTTTAATGGAGTCTTGAAAAGGAGAAGTCTTGGTTCACCAATTTGCACAGAAGCCAGTTTCACATTTTTAAAAAAATGACCCTGAAGGCAAGATAGGGAGACTATATTTTCAAAAAGCAAACCTAGGAGCATAGGCACCAGTGGGAGGCTAGTTCAGTAATTCAGGTAATAGGTGGAGGACATCTAGACTAATGTAGCGGCCATGAAGATATTTATAAAAAGTTAATTATTTAGATCTACTAAGAAGGTAGAATAAAACAGAACCAGTGCTTCATTAAATGAGTGAAATGAGGAAAAGGTAGGAATTAAGGATGACATTCAGGCCTCTAGCTTGAGCAACTATGTGGCTGATGGTATCATTTGTTGACTAGGGAACATGAGAGAGCGTTTGGTGGGATAGATGGATGAATTCAATTTTGATATAACATGTTATTTAAGGCCAAATGTTCTGAAATCAGTTGCATATATAAGTCAGAAGTTCAGGAGAGAGATCTGGGCTGAAAATGCCAATTTGATAGTTATTAGCATTTGGGCACTATTTGAAGCCAGGGGAATGGCTGTGATCACTGTGACAGAACATGAAGAGTAGAATCAGGACTCAGGCAGAATCCTGAAGAATACTAATACTGAAAAGATAAGAAAAGGAAGAGGCACTCACAAAGGCACCTGAGAAGGAACACAAAGAGAGGAAGAACTTACACATTAACACCTAATCGTTCAAGGAAGGGAAAAAAAAAAGCATGAAAAATTCTAAGAAGATTCACGCAGAAATATATAAGAAAATCCAGGAGACTCAGGTGCCCAGAAGCTCTATTATCCCAATGCACCCATTCTGGACCAGTCCAACTGTCGTCCCTAGTTTGGATTATTGCAATGGTTTCCACTGGTCGCTCTGTCTCTAGTTCAACAACTTCAATCTTTTCCTCATTCTGGGCAAATACGATGAATTGCTTCCCTTCTCAAAACCCTTAACAAAGTGCTGCTACCCTTTAACATAAGCCCAAGCTCTTTGAGCTGATGAAAGGGTCCCATAATGTTGAACACTGCTGAGAGGTCCATTGTCTTCTAAAGACACAACCTGAACCTTGTTTTCTCAGAAACTGTTCATCTCTGAAAAGCCTCTTTCAGGCCTTCTCCTCTCAGACCACAAGTTCCTACTAGCCAGCCTGTTCAGTCCATTATTCCTAGTACATTGGCACTGTATCTGCACAGAGATGCCCTGCCCCATGAACCTTCAACATTCTCCCTATCCTTCAGCCCTTTCTGCCTTCACTGTAATTTTGTTTCCTCTGCCTGAGCCAATCTTCCCCTCACTGTCCACCCAGCTTCCTCCACACATGCTTCAGGTCTCCACTCAACTATCACTCCCCAGGGAGGCCTTCCCTGTCTACCCAATCTCCATTAGATCCATTTTATTCTCACATTACCTCATCCTCTTCCTTCATAGCACTAATAATAACTCATAATTCTATTGTTATTGTTGGTATTTATTTGTTGGATTTATTCATTGTATACCTCTTCTAGACCACACACTTCATTAGGGCAGGAACTTTGTCTATTTTGTTCACTGCTTCAACCAAGAAAAGAATCTGGTACATACTATGTGTTCAATAATTATTGAAGGAATGAACAAACGCATGGCAATTCTCTGCTCTGCACCTTTCTGTTTTACACCTTCCAGATTTGGAATGTCTTTATTCATTTTCTTAATTCCACTTCAGACACCATTTGTGCAGTAAACACTTTTTCACCCAAACTGAAAGATTGCCTTAGAAACTGTTCCTGATCTTTTGGCCTCTTATACTCAAAAAGAATTGATAACTTCGTCATGTGGGCCTCCACTGTCCCTGACACACACTTCTATCCTAGCACTTACAAATTTTTATATCACTACTTTCTCTATATCTCTTTCTTTCCCACTTGATTTTAAGTTACTTCAAGTTAGGAATCATATCTTATTTTTGGTTCTCTAGCAACCAGCCCATTCAACACTTATAAATTAATGAATGAACAAAAATAGAACATAGTTTAGTATTTTCTGGTGGCCCCATATTATCATTTTGAGCATTAAATGCAATACATTCTTACCTTTAAGACATTTAATCATTTAATCAATAGATTTCAATCAATATAACATCAATACATTTTACCTTTAAGACCTGTTGTGGTGTCCTTGCCTCTGTACTAAATAGCCTGATTCTTAACTTCTTGAGTGTGTTTTATACAGTTTTTTATATCTTCTCTCTTCCTACCAGGACTAAGCTATTAATTCTTGCTAATTCAGTTTTTCTATCAGTAATTTTCTGTTGTTTCTATGGAAATTAATAAAAGAAACCTTAACTAAATTGGAGACGGGAAGAACTGTAGGGGCATCTCCCACACCCTATCACACATCATCAATTACACCAAACAGGAAGAGACAGAGGCTTGCATCTTCCACAAGAAGTAAAACTACTTTACTACTGAAGGAAGATTTCTCTCCCCACCCAGCAACAGCCCAGCCAATGAGAAACACCACAGCTCAGCCAATGAGAAGCTGTTGCCACCTTGAACTGCTATTTTCCCCCAGTGGACTTTCATTTAGTACAGCCCCTCCCTACTCCCCCTTTTTCTCTATAAGGGCAGCTCCCCTCATTTCTTTTCTGGATTTGCCTATGGTTTGCCATAGCGTGCACATCCTGAATTGCAATTCTTTGAGCTATTTCCAAATAAACTCATTTTGAGATAAAATAATAGGCAAATTTGCTTTTTAAATTGATATTTCTCATCTCCTATGTTCTGAGAAATACATAGATGACCAAGTCTAACAAATTCAAGTATTTTGAATAAAATAAATGTAAATAGATTCTGAGTGAGGATTTGAGCTCTTCTCCCAGAACTCTGGTGCTCTCACTAGAACTGTGGTGCCTAGACCTTGAGACAGATGATCTGGTAGTTCAGACTCTTCTGTGTTTACTTCCTTGTTCTCAGGTAGGTCAGGCAGCATAACGAAGAGTTGCTGAAGTGCACATTTCCTTTTCATAATATGCTAAATAGAATTTGATCCTAATTTCTTGACTCAGTTATTGTTATGCATGACAATATTTAATGAATTCTCTGTGGGTATGTTGAAAAATTAATTAAATTCTCCCATATTATGATCTATTCTAAGTATGGCTTCTGCTCCTTCTTCTAGCTCAGTGATACAATCCAAACCCCATCCCCTAACCCCCATTATCACCACCACCACCACTATCAAGATGCTCAGAGTTATTGCCTCTATATTGTTTCCAAATTGAAAGACTGTTGTAGCCAATGTTCCTGCCTTATCTTTTTTTCCCAGGGTAACCTTTTACTGCTACCCATGGTTCTTTCTCATCTCCTCTTTTTGCTCCCCTCTACCCCCCACTCACCACCACCACCACTCTCTGATTGTAATTTAGGGCTGAACTGAAGTTTCTTAGAGAGTTGTAAATATTACACGGAAGACTGGATAGGCCCAGCAGGAAGTGTGTGTCATGTATCTCTTGTGGAGTACCATTCCAGGATTTTGTTCATTTGAATAATTATTTTTAAATAAGTGCTTACGCTTAGCAGTTTTTTTGCTTTGAGAATTAATTGACTATATACATCACTATATATATGTATTGAGTATACACATCAACATGTATCATACATGGATTCAAAAGAATGGCATTTTATATTTCATTAACTTTATAGAAGAAGAATAACAATACTACCTTCTCAATAAAACCATTCCATTGCTCTTAGTTGGACATAATTTTTCTTGCTTTGAATCCTTGCATGATAGCACTTCATTAATACTTAGTGGACAATTCTTCCAATCTCCTATTTTATATAATTTGGACATTTATTTTATCCTCCTCCCTGGAGTGATTCAAAGCAATTTGAGGTCAGGGACTCTGACTCACTCATCTTTGATTCCCCGCAGCACCAAAAGAAGTGAAATAATAGGCACTTAATAATTATTTGAAGAGTTGAAAAGAAGCACTTCACACTCATAAATGCATAAAGTTACTTTATTTTAAGTATACATTTAATTTTGAAAAATATAAATGCTAAAATATCTCATCTTCTTCATCTCTTAATTCCATAAAAGTCACAATAGAAAGCTTCATAAAACTGTAAAATACTATACTGTTATAGGAATTTTAGGTTTTATATTGGAAAAAATTTATCAGTAATATATTGAAATGTTTTCTGTTCTTTATCATTTTGTTCCACCATGTTGATCTACTTCATTTAAAATAAAAAGATGCATCATTTCTCCAAAGTTAACAAAGACTTAAGAGAATAAAAATAAGATCATCCGAAAGTGCGTATTGATTCTGAAAAGTAATATGTACGGATATGTACCAGCCATGAAAATGGCTAAAAAGAGGCAACTATTCACTCTTTTCACATTGTAGGACTGGGACAAAGTTACTTCTGGCTCTAAAAGTTTCACTGGATGACTTTAGCCCTGAGTTGCAATATTTGCCTAGAAAATAAGAATTCAGGATTTTTGTATGTACCCATAGAGCACAAAGAAATGAGTCAAGAAATAGGACATATCCAAATTTCTGGTCAAAACACAACTTGACTGGTTAGCATATATCACAAAACTTTTTTATTTCAGGCTGCAATAAAACTCAATGAAATCATCATCTGAAAACTCCCAAGGCCCTTCAGATAGTCAAGTGCTAACATCATTTGATTATATTCAGCCACTGGGTGCCACTGGGCTTCATGCTCATGCTGTGAAGAGCGGATGTGAAATATCATGGAATAAATAAGAAAATCTCAAGTTCCTGCACCAAAATCATTAAGTGGTATGAAAAGGATTGAAGAAAGCTTTGTCCCATCCCTGAACAATGTCAACCTCAGTAATACAACTCAAATGTTTTGTTTTTTAAAGATAGTCAGCAGTCAATACATTTCAAGTACTTTAACACAGTTTAAAAAAGGAAAAAGAACCAAAAACTTGGAAGACAATCGTTCTCTGTATTAAACACCAATATAGCTGATAAAAGATTTACTCTGTGTGTGTTGGTGCATGTGCATAAAATATACACAAACTGAATTTTGATGGCAGACAATTACCCCTCCCCCCATTCTTTGAGGTGGGGGGCTGATTAGAGAGGGTTTTGTTTTCTTCTTTAAGCCTCCATTTCCCCACCCCCAGTCCACTGCTTGACTGGAAGAAGAAGCAGGAATACTGCTGCCTACAGCACACAAAATAAAGAGGATTCCAAGTCATTGTTTTACGTAGTAGAGAAGAGTGACTTTTATCAAGGAAAACAGTGTCTCCAAGAGATTTTCTTACAAATGCAAAACCAGAGGCCCTTATGCTCCGTTGATAAAGCAGACTCTTGGCCTAGTGATCTCTTCCAATAGTAAGTCTATACAACCACTGAACTTCTGGGTAACATCTCTGAGTGGACACTTAGTTCTGTACTTCCAACAACTTGAATCTTTTAATTCCGTATTCACATCACGGAGCAACACTTTGTGAAAAATTTACCATTGTATTCTGTGTGTCCAGTTTACATAGAAACAAAACCACCCAAAAATCAGGTTAGTTCTTAAACAATGGGTAAACTCAGTTAAAATACAGATAATTTGGTGCCTCTGTATGGACCTCACATTCTGTTAGTTTGTTTGGTAACTACTTCTGTCCCTCTGAAAGTAATTATTTTTTTGAAACTTTCCCTGAGTTCCAAAATATTGAAAGTGTTTGATATTAACTGTTCCTTTTAGTAAGGTATTATCTGCATTCATATCATGGATTTCAACCTTCTGTCACAGAACAGGGATCATCAATGGAAGTGCAGATAGCTTTCAGATCTGCTCAAAGGCTGAAATACTGAGTTAAGTTGCTTCAGTTCTTTGAAAGGGATGGAGAGGGACATGAATCCTCAAATACTTGATTCATGATCAGAAAAATAAATTATTATATCTAGAGTTTTTATAAAAGCGAACAAAAGTGTCTTTAATTTAACAAGATCATAAGTTAAGCTGAACATATTATGCATGACTTTTAAACATTTTATTGATGCTTCCATCAGTAAAGAAAAAGGGAAAGCTTCTTATATAAATCTATGTTAGGGTAATGAAAAGCTAGATAATACAGAATAATCATTTTAAGGATAGCTCTAAATACCAACGTGACACCAAAATTTGGCACGTGAGGTTTTAACAAATAACATGTAATTTGCCACTTTCATTTTAACGATCATTTTGCAGATCATTTATGTCTAATTTGTATAAAGTTAAAAGTTTTAAGATTATCAGATACTATAAAAGTAACAGCTAATTCAGGATAATAAAATTTTTATAATTAAAATTTCAAGAGAACAGAATTATAATTTAATTAATATAGGAAAGAGTGAAAGTGAATATGTGCATATTAGGAAACCAAAATAAGTGGTTTCATTCTGCTTCTAGTACTCCTCCAACAACCTGTTTTAGCTAGGATTTATTACAAATATGGTTATATGAATCCAAAATGATGGATTCAACATTTTTAAATGTTGTTTTTAAGGCAGATTCACAATACATAATGCAATCTATTAAAAACATTAAATTTAAATAACATGCTAAATTTGGTTAATAAAGATCTAATTTTCTTTTTTCTAATTTTCAATGTGGTACTTTGAAATACACACACATGGATATATACACATATATATTCTAAATGCCCCAATCACAAGGAATAATTGCCTTTCCACTCTAAAAAAATGTGTGCGTATTGTTAAAATGTATTGTAAAACATATAGCTCTGCAGATTTATCTGCATTCCCATAAACGCTTTATAGATGTGCTAGTGGTCTATTAATATTCCTATGGATTTTGTATTGTAAATATGGGCTATTGCATCAATGATGGTGACTGATATCTGGGTAATAAAATATATTTACCCTCATTATGGTAAGTCTCTTGGACCTTGATGGATTTTTCATATGTGGTTTAGGTTTTATGAAAACTGACACAAGAGGCTGGATATCTTTGCCCTTTGCCTACTGTCACTCGGTTCTTTTTCTAACTTTGCACATATGTGCACCAGCCACACACAGAGTACATAAACAAACACACAAATATTTCAAAATGAAAAAAATGTCTAACAATACTGCATAGGACATTGACATGGTAATACAATCAGCATCTGTGCCTTGATACTACTATTACCAAAACATCAGTTAATCCCATTACATAGGACCTTCTTCCTTCTCCCCGAATCTCTTTCATAGAACAGTTAAATTTCTTTTAAAGAAAGGAAAAAATGGATGCTTAGAAACATGGTGTTTTTAATCTGATCTAGCCCTCTGGCTTACCCTAGAGATTGTGAATTTGTGTGTGTGTATGTGTGTGTGTGTATATATGTGTGTGTAAAAATCACATTATATACAATATAATTTTTACAGAAAGCCTGGCAGCTACAAATAAGAGGTAGAACTACTCAAAACTATGTTTCCTGCTGCAGGAAAAAATTCATTTTCTTTACAGTAATTAAAAAAAAGTTTAAAAAATTGACAAAAAATAAGTCGCAAGTTAGGCCCCATAATTTAAACAACAAAATCTAGGAAGAAAAATATTCTTCAATGTACTCAACAGATAAGTTCATTAAAGGGTTAAAAAAAGTTGCATAGGAAAAAGGGACATTCCAGCACTTGCTACAATGATGGCAATAGTTTACTACAGGGAGTAAAGTACCTTTAGTTTTTCTTCTTTTGATAACTCTAAGATTAGGGTTTACAAGCAAGAGCAAATTAGAATAGCAGCACTTTTTCCAGTCCTGGAGAGCTCTATAAGCGAGAAGGGACTCTGTCTGGAGGTCAAGGTTTGTTCTACCAGACAGAAAGACAAGCCAGTAAGCACAGCTCCAAAACTAAAAGTTTTAAGTTCCTTCAATATTTTAATAAAAGATGTTATAAAATCCTTAATACTTTTGCCCTCTGCTTAATAAAGGAAAAGGACAGGGTCTGTGCGTGTCTTGAGTGACAGAGGAATTTGGTTATCAGAGGACATATTTGAAAGTATAAGAACACAAAGGGGATTCTTCAGATGTTTTTAAGGAACGGTGCACTATTGTCTTGATTTTACCTATGCAAGAGAGAAGCAGAGAGAGCGCTGTATTATTTGGCCAGTGACCAAAAACTAAAACAAAACAAAAATTAAAAAATAAACAACCAGACAAAAAACAACAACATTAACAACAAAAATTGTCAGTCTGAAGAAAGACAAACAGGTTACAATGTAGTTTCTGTTCCCTTGCTCCTCCAGAAATAATCATTGTCTTCAGGCTCAGGTTCTGTTCTAATTTGAGGCACAACTTTTACTGGAGTTCTAGGAGGACTAGAGAAAAAGAAAAGAAAGAAAACAGTAAGTACATCAGATTTCCTTTATCATCTGTCAAATGTTTATGCATTGAACAGAGGCCAAATGCGTCCTTCTTTGTTCTCTTTAAATACTTATCTCCTCCTTCTGTATTAAAAACATGTTTTTAAATGGGATGAAGGTACCAATAAAGTCAAGAAATTCAAGTAAAAATTTCATAAGCTCTCATACCTATATTTAAAAAAAAAAAAAAAAACCCAAAACAAGGAGTAGGACTGCCAGGTGAGTGATACTGTCAGATATTAAAGGACAAAAAGACTTACATGAAAATAGTCAGAGATTTCACTTTTTTGAAAATCAAGTAGGATCTGAAATCTCTAGGTTTATGTTAAGAGGGAAGGAAACTACCGGAGGAAAGCTGACAGGAAATGCAGTTATCCCTTAAATCAGAGACAATACTGAAATGATAAGAGCTAGCACTGATCCTGGGCTTTACCTTAATGACACTAAAAGATTCCAGTACAGTCATGCTCTACATACCGACGTTTCAGTCAATGACGGACCGCATATAGGACAATGGTCACATAAGATTAGTACCATACAGCCTAGGTTTGTAGTAGGCTGTCCCATGTAGGTTTGTGTAGGTACACTCTATGATGTGGGCACAATGATGAAATTGCCTAGCAATGCATTTCTCAGAACATATCCCCGTCGTTAAGCAACATATGACTGCATTTCTAAGAGTAAGTGGAATAGCTCTTAGAATGCTTTCTACCAGAAAAGCTAGGGCGAGGTTTGGTGACTGGGTAATTTATTTAAGATAAGTTGTAGAGAGAAAGGAGCACAACGTGTTTTGTCAATAACCTGCCATTGACTACATTTCTGTGGGGCAATTGTCCCACAGAACAACGTAAAATACTAGGCTGTCCTTTACCTTGGCATACCGAGTGACTGAAGGAAAGGAATTTTATCAGCATGATGTGTGGCGTTCAAGGAATGTTGGTGATCTTTCTCCTGGGGAAAAAAAAATGTTTTAAAATTATAAATAGTGGCCTTTGGTAAAGTATAAAATTAGAGTGAAAATAAAAATCTTCACAAAAACGGATGCATCTTTCACAATTGGAAGGAGGAAGAAAGGCAAGGTTAGACATAAATTTCAATCAACATTGTATCAAGCTAAGAATCTAAGTAGTGGGATGAAACCAAAATCACTTAGTTTCCTTTAGTGTAGCCTTCTGGGATGGACAACTGTTGTTTTCAGTGAGAGGGAAAGAGGTGAATCATTTGTAGAAGGTGATAGCATTGACTTAAGTGGCTAAGGCTTCCCCTTGGATTTCCTTCCATCTTCAGCATCCACAATTTTGTCCTCTGTTATTCATGGGGTAAAAAAGATTTTGAGGAGCTTACTTATACCGCAACTCTACTATCAATTTTGTTCTTTCATGGATTATGAAGGATTAATATGACATTGGAAAAGATTTCAGTTACAATGATCATGGGTATTTTGCTTAAGTAAATTTCTAATATTACATCAACTTGCAATGTATCTTTTTAAAGGGGTTTTGAGAGAATGAAGAACTAGTACTAAATAATCAATTTGCCATAAACTTTTTCCAGGGGCCTCAAATTCTAGCTGTGACTTTATTTTTTTCTTTTTTTTTCTTAAGCAGCCTTTAAACTGTACTTAGAAGGGCTGTAGCAGGTTATGATGCCAATGGATGACATATGTGCTGTGTTCCTTTCACAGTCTCCTTTTGCTATTAATGCTCTTAAGATGAAAAATGAAGCCAGAACATTGTCTGGGAAGTTTGAATTCAAAACAGAAATATTAACTAAATCCCACTGATAGGATTGAGAAGAAATTAGCCTCAGTTATAAGTTATAGGTTACAGATTGGACACTAAAGGTGAGACCACTTTAATTCTTTGTTCTTAAACCCAGTGTGGTAGACAGCCTCCAAGATGGCCCCCAATGCTCCCTGCCTTCTGGTATTCCTATCCTTGTATAATTCCTTCCCACCTTGTACCAGGGTTGGTTTGTATGATCAATAAAATATGACAGAAATGATGGTATGTCACTTCTGAGATTCAGTTATAAAAGACTGCAGCTTCAGTCTTGATTTCTCTCTCTGTCATCACTGGCTCTGGAGGAAACCATATCATGGGCAGCTGTATGGAGATGTCCATGGGCCAAGGAATGGAAACTTCCTGCTAACTGTCTTGTGCATGAGCTTGGAAGCAGATCCCCAGTTCCAGTCAAGTCTTCAGACTTGACCTTAGCCAAGAGCTTGACTGCAGTCTCATGAGAGATGCTGAGCTAGCTAGACCCTAACCCAAAATCATTTCCTCCTAAATTCCTGAACGTCAGGAACTGTATGAGGAAATACATGTTTGTTGTTTTAAGCTGCTAAATTTCGTGGTAATTTGTTATGCAACAATAAGTAACTAATATCCTCATTTTTCATAAAGAGTCATTCATTTCAAACCCTTCTAGGTAACCCCTTACTAAAGCTGAAATGGCATTGTCAAAGAGAAATAAATGTCTGAACTGTCTTTTTTCCAATAACAGACCGGTATACTTTGAAGTGCATATGGATCTAAAAGAATACATTGTCTTCAAAGGAGAACTCAAAGTGAAAGTAGTTTGGAGACAGTCGCTACTTGCTATTGGGAAAGCTTGAGATATTCACTGATGTTACTACAGAGGTGTTCTCCCTTTTCAAGTGGCCTGTTAACTCAATTACAAAAGAAAAGATGACATGTCAGAAACCATTACACCTTAGCCATCAGGCTATTACGCCAGAAAGACCAGTGCAGTTACAAAGGTGATTTTGAAATAGCAGAAAAGGAATGAAGAAATTAGGAAGAAAATGCACCTTACAAATTATACCTAAAAAGTTGTATTAATATTTTGTGATTGCCAATTTTATTGAAAATAACAGTTATTCCAAATTCTCAATATTAACAATTGATTCATCGATCATTGAAAGACCCATGACGCAATTTCTCTTTTGAGCTGATCTGGTCATTGCCTGAAGCCCGAGGAAGACAAACAGTAACAGACAGTGATGTAGTACTATAAGCTGCAATTCTAAATACCAGTGGAAAAAAGAAAAATCAATTAAAAACATGGGTACGAGTTTAGCAATGGAAAGAAACGTGATAACTTGGATCAGAGAAAAGACTATTAAACAAAAATATAAAAGGTTATGAATAAAAGGAAGAAGAGTGAAGCTCAGGGAATGTAAAAATGAAGTTTTATAATAATTAAGTGTAAATCTTCACATAGAAAAAAAGAAAGAAAAAGAGGGGAAGTTAACGTAGATGATACTTGTAAAGTTTTTTTCTGCAAGTGCAAATCATATTCAAGCAGGCATGCCAGAGGCTAGTTCTACTCACTGTCGGAAGGTTTGCTATCACTTAGGAAAGGTTGCTGTTCCATGATGTCCATTGGAATTTTAATACTTGGAACTTTTTCTGAGTATGGGCAGTCAGACTGTGAAAGAAATTTACAACAGTTTTTAGAAAGTTTTTACTATACAGCCCTCCCTACCTCCCAGTATTGATAAAACCAATCATATTATTATTTACAGTGTACTAAGGAGAAAAGGCACAGATACAATCATTTCCACTTTGCTAATTTTTCAAATTCTATACCATCTTTCTCCCTCACATTTGTTTTCCTCTCTTCTGAGTCAATGGGATTGAGTCAATTAACACAAGACCCACACCAAATGAAGATCACTACAAATTAAAACAATTGTAAAGCTTTCTCTAAGCCAGATTCCCAATCAGCAAATATTTATGGGTTTGTTGTATGTGAAAAGCAAATAATCTCAATGTGAAGATTAAATCTAGGAAACTTCCTAAAGTATAACATGGACTTGAAATTCTTCTTTTCTTTATGATTCTTGTTTCCAATTCCATCTCCAGAAAATGATGACTTATCTTTCCTTCCAACACAGGCAAAAGACTTTTTAACATCCACTATCAAGAAGCCTCTACATACACTTGAAAATAAACTCCCTCTCTTACTCTAATACCGTATCAAAACTATTTTATAGTTCAAGGTTCATTTTTGCTTATAGCACAAATATTTGAAAACTTAGCAAAACATGAGAAAATAAAATCAAAGGAAAATGCCCATGATGGTCAGATAAGCAGAGACGAATTATAACCAGAATAAAATGATAAAACCAGGCAGCTAATCATGGGGCTGCTTAAAGAACAGGCCACCTAAGACAAAACTGTAACAGATTTCCACAGAATTACCACTTTACTTTTTTTCAGAATTCATTATATTGAATCCAAGTCTATGTTTGGACTGAAAAGATCAAATTAATCTCTTAACTAAAAGTACCAAGGAGATAACCTTTAGTTAAAAGAAAAAAATGGGAACTAGGGGTCAAAGAAAATAAAGTAAAAATAAATCTTAACATAAAGCCTACTACACACATTGAAAATTCCTTTATGATGAATCTAAAGAGCATAAGGAGGCACAATATTCTTTTAAAGGATTAAGATATTGCACTTAAATTGACCAAAAAAAAAGTGAAGATACTATATGCACCTACTTTTATGAGAATGTCAAAAAAGACAAGACTTATTACAGTATTTCAAACATTTCCCCAAATAATAGCATTTATAGATGAACAGGTTGGCAGCCAACCTTTAATCATAGCCTACCAGGCAGGTTCAAAAATGACTGAGGGACTCAAAATGTCGGCAAGCCATAATTTTCACTACTTCTGCTCACAAATTCCTCCACACCCCAAGATTATCAAGTCAACATCAGGAGAGCCACCTTTCAAATGCAGAGCCTCCAAATAATGAGTTCAACTCAGAAAACTTATTACACAGATATACTCTAAATTGCCTGGTTGGATTCACTCTCTAGGACACATATACAAGCTTGGCTGTTTTTGTCTTCGATGCTCTAGAATTTATTTCAAATTTTGATTTCTATTCAATGTGTAAACATATCATTCTTTTTTGTGTGTGTGTGGAAGATCAGCCCTGAGCTAACATCTGATGCCAATCCTCCTCTTTTTTCTGAGGAAGACTGGCCCTGGGCTAACATCCATGCCCATCTTCCTCTACTTTACATGGGACGCCGCCACAGCATGGCTCGACAAGCAGTGTGTGGGTGCGCGCCTGGGATCCGAACCGGCGAACCCCAGGCCGCTGCAGCAGAGCGTGCGCACCCAACCGCTCTGGCCACCAGGCCGGCCCCAACATATCATTCTTTTTTAATACTGCATCTTAATCTGTGCTGCAGTTCAAACACATTCTCTCTTTTTCTTTCATCATTGGAAATAGAAAATCTATATACCTGTTCTTATTGAAGATGGATGATGACAGTCACAAAAGCTCCCTCAGACTATTTTCTCTTTAGCTAAATGTGCTTCGTATATTTAGCCTTTTCTTATTGGATCAGTTTATCTGAAATCCAATTTTGTCTGTTGCTTTCCTTCACTGCACTATTTCCAAGTTCTCCAAAAAGAATACAACCAGACAGGCTGACCAATTGGAAATAACCAGACAGGCCTGAATTGGAGTTTTGCCTTTGCCACTCATGGCTGGGTACATTTAGAAAAATGACTTAACATTTCTCAGTCTAAATTTCTTCATCTGTAAAATAGGAACAAAAATATATACTTTAAAAAGCTGTTATGGCAATAAAGGACAAGCATGCATAATCAATCAAAATGATCAAGTACAGAATAGACACAAAAAGTTAACTACATTCCCACTTCAGAATGGGATATTGGAGATTCCATTAGAATGGGGATACTGTACTGTGTAAAATCCAGAACAACTCTTCACATGGAAAATGTCATTTTGGCAGTCATTTCAAAGGGCTACTGGGGGGCCGGCCCGGTGGCACAGTGGTTAAGTGCGCGTGCTCTGCTTTGGTGGCCTGGGGTTCGCAGGTTCGGATCCCAGGCGTGCACCGATGCTCTGCTTGTCAAGCCATGCTGTGGCGGTGTCCCATATAAAGTAGAGGAAGATGGGCACGGATGTTAGCCCAGGGCCCATCTGCCTCAGCAAAAAAGAGGAGGATTAGCATTGGATGTTAGCTCAGGGATAGTCTTCCTCACAAAAAAAAAAAAAAAAGGCTACTGGGACAAGCTGTGTGTGTGTGTGTGTGTGTATGTGTGTGTGTTAAAGAAAAACAAATCCTAGCTTTTCTCCTAGCACTGATTAGACTCCTATTGGAGTAACTATATTTCTGTGAAATGGTTTCCTAAAGGAAAAAATGGGAATAATTTTATTTCTCAACTTAATCACCCAATTATAGAAGAATCATCTAGACTATGACACTGACTACTACAATTATGTAAAAAGATCCCAAACTCCTATTTCATTTTTATTGAAGAGTTACAGAGAAATAATCCCAAACCATGTCAAAGTCCAGTGTAAGGATAAATACAACAGCAGAGAACTTTGGTTGAGAGCCTACTCAAATAGATACATAGATCACAGGAGGTGAAGTCACTGACATCTGTCCATAGTAAGCTTAAAATTACACAAAACTGAGTTATTATCTCAAATTTAAATCTTGGATTATTACTAGCAAACCACATACATTTTATAGCATTACTAAGCAAACTTCGTCTTTATTTATAAGGATTCTAAATATGGTGGGCTTTTTTTTAAAGAAGTCATAACATCACTATTAGTGTGTTAATGGTTACAGAAAGACTTCAGAAAATGTCAAAAACCAAAGAGAGAAAATAAAAGACGAAGGTGAAGAGGGACATGAAACATGGCCAGGTAACATTCTTGGAACTCAGCCATACATTTCACATAAGGAATAAAAAAATTACATTTTTCACATTTGTTTAACTAGCTTTACTCAGGAATTTTAGAAGGTTCCTTACATCATCATTGTCACTGTCCAGACTTCCTTTCTTCTTTTTCTTTTTCTTCTCATCCTCCTTCTTTTTCTTGTCCTTTTCTGGAATGACATCATCAAGGAAGCTGAGGTCGTGCTGGGAGAAGAGGTAGTCCATGCCTTTTCTGACAGCTACAAGAGCCAAGATCTGGAAAGATAAATATGAAAAGTATGAAAGAAAACATGTCAGATGAAGTCATAGTGAGTATTAATACTGCTGCATCAAAGTCAGTAGACACCTATTTTGTATAAGGCTCGAGTACGACAGAACTCATCTTGCTTATATGGACTTAAGTGGGGAAAGTTGGTTCATAAGTGTCTTAGTTGAAATTCACTCCGTTTTGTTCACTGAAATGTATGATCACATTCAATCAGAATTTCAATGTAAAAGGATTATTTTTTAAACCATTTTCTTCCATGTCAGATTTTTAATAAAATAACTAAAAATTTAAAGGGAAAGAATACCCTACATATGATTTCTAATTATTCAAAATTAAAACATTATAAAGGTTTCTGAAAATCAAGAAAATCTGAACAACACACAGTACACTAAGACATCCTCAAAGTACTAATAATGAGGTAGTACTTGAGTATGCATAGCCCATATAATCTACTAGGTGACTTCAATCACTACCATTAACTGAATACTTACCATGTGTCAGATGCTGTGCTAAACTCTTAGGCAATATTTTCTCATTTATTCCCACAACAATGCCAAAAAGCAGATATTATTATCTACATCTTACAGCTGAAGAAACTGAAGCTTAGAGACATCAGTAGGTTATCCAAGATCACGAAGCCAGATAAAGGAAGAATAAAAAGGGTCCCAGCTGTCTGACAGTATTAAGAAAACCAGTATTCTTAAGCTCTCTTTGATTCTATGAATTGCTCTTGAAGAGTAACTTCTGAAAGTACATTAAAGATGTCTTTGCTCAACAGTAAAGTTAGTATGCACTAGGATACAGGAGTCATGACTCTGCCTCAAATTAAACAGTTGTCTTTATCCACATCATGCTTTCTACGTGTCAGTTTCTTCGTCTGCTAGAGAAATCAATAAAATCTGCCCTACTGATATTAAATGATTATTTTGTAACCAAATAAAAGCTCTGAAAAGATAAAAATATTTTATAAAGGTAAAACATTTATTATTACTATTTAGCACAAGTAGAAGGTGATTACTGGATATATTTCATATCTATTGAGGTCTAACTTCATTTTTCCTGGTTTTAGCAAAACTAACAGATAGGTAGATTATACTAATAGGCAAATGGGAGTCATTTCTCACACTCAGTGTGCTTTCCAGTAAGTTAATGGAGTTTAAGGAAAAAAAAGATGTAAGGGATCATCAAGAAAAAATCTGACTCTACAAATATCACTAGTATTTTACACCATGTTTTCCTGCTCCCCTGGAGGAAAAAAACTACAAACAACAAAGATATATAAAATAAAATAATAATCCTGACTAAGAATATGATAATTTTTATAAGAAACAAAATGATTTGTATATGAAAATTCCGTTTCCAAAGCTGTGGGGGAGACAGAGCAGTCCTGAGGCTGGCTTGGTGACTTCTTTCAAGTATATGCAAGCGCATTTTCTTGCAAGAAATGGAGAGCTATGAAAGAGTATAAAATTCAATGATGAAGCCAAATACAGAGCTAGCATTTCCTTTTTTCCTTCTTTCGCTTGTGATTCAGAGTGGAATGGTAGTTATTTTACCTTGCTTCTCATCATATCAAGGTAAGGATAGAGAGCCCAGACTTATTCTCAAACTTAGCATGATACAAACTAGAAAGTACTTCAAAAACTGAACTTCTCACTCCACTTCTTCTAATTCACTGGATGACCTCTCACAAGGTTCCAAACTTGTCCTCTATTATTTGTACTGAAATGTGCTGTATTTTGTAATTTAGATCAATTCTATCGTACAATAGTATTTTAAAAATAACTCATGCACTGGTGTTTACTGTGCCAGGCATTATGCTATACACTTGATATTAAGTATTGATGCTCAGAATAACAATAACAATGCCATCCCCATTTTACTGATAAGTTAATGGCACCTCAGGGAGGTTCACTGACCAGCATGAACCAGAGCTGGTATTTGAACTCAGCTGAGTCTGACTCTACAGTCCACTGTAGACAACCACAGACATAAGAACCTTAAATTACAACTGATCAAATCAAAGTGATTTGGTCAAAGCTGGAAAAAACTGGATCCACACATAAAAAGACACATGTGTCTTCCATATTACAATAACCACACAATAGTGGTGTGACCTCACGGGTAGGTTCAATTAAAGGAATCCCTACCATGACTGGAAAAATGATAGCAGCCACAGTTGACTTGAGGATCCAGAGCAGGGCTAGACACAACACCTGCAGGAAAGTGAACAGGTGGACTCTGCGCAGGGGGACATGGCGCAGGTAGATAAAGTCAGGCTGATGCTTCAGGGGCATCAGAAGCAGCTTCAGGCGATCCATGAACTGGGGAGGAAAGGGGAAGAGAGTACAACCGCGTTACTTCAAGAGCTGATACACAAAGTCATTTCCATTATGCCAACTGACCACTAGTGATTTATATTCTATAATTTAGGCAAGCAGTGCCCTTTTCAGAGGACACTGGTCAGGGGGTGCAGAAATTTAGTCCAGCACAGCAAGACATCGTATGAGTCTTCCAACTTTTGTTATTACTTTCCAGGAATGTTATGCAGATATATGAGATAAAGTGGCCACCAAAGAATAAAGTCACAAAACAAAATATAAATTCTAGATACTCATCTCCTACTTTCTATTTTTACTGAGTCTCAGGAGAGAGAATCGTTTGACTCCTTTAGTAATGATATGCTAAAGGAAGACATCTAACTCATGTATCTTACTCTGTCTCAGTTGTCTTATCCGAAAGAAGAGGAGATGCTACTATGCTTCATACATATTTCAGGGACGTTTCAAGGATATAAAGGAAGTATTAGACTTGAAAATGGCAATGCATTGGTATATTCATAAATTCCACACTATCTATCTATGGCATAACTTAACTAATACATCAGCAATGAATTACCATTTCTTTTCAGAGAAAAGCCACATGAATATTACAGTGAGTTTCAGAGTGTCAACAACTAGATATCCGAATCTAGGAGAGGCTACCCCACTGTCATGTACAAACAGGTATCAAAATGACTATCAAGCACCTCTGCGCCAGGTACTGTGTTTTAAAGAATAACTTCTGAGTTTACATTGATGATGATGATAAGGAGGATATTTAAATACCTATTATAGGATCTTCCAGATGGAAGATGCTCAGTAAAGAGCTGTTGAATTGAACAGCTATGTAATGAGAACTCTGAAATAATATCTCTACTTTCTTTCTGGAGGAAAGGGAGAAGTGTAAAAGAAAGCTAGACAATCACAGACAATCTTCCCTGAAGGGATCTAAAGGGTTTTCTTCCTCCACGCGGAGCTATTTTTGACTGGTGAGGGCCTTCCCATTTGTGAAGATTGGGGTACAAAATTTTTTGGTAAATCAAATCTTGCCAGAAAGGTGTAAAAGAGGAAGACTCAAGGGAAAAGTAAGGAAAAGAGAGAAGGCAATAGGGCAACAGCACTGCAGAACTTAAGGAACCAGCTAGCTGTCCCTTCAGCAAGGGACTTTTTCCCTATCAATATGAAATCACTGATTTTTCCCTTCTACTTACTTTAATAAACATGTACTGAGTTCCAACCATCGATTACACACTTAGAACACATAAAATCAAACTTCTGATCTAGACCAACTTAGTAAGGCCAAACTAAAATAAGAAATATTAGTTTGGGGGCCATATTAGTTTCATATTTTTATATTTAGGGGAATAAAGAATTTTTACAATGTCAGGTAAAAATAAAATATTTTTTATACATTTATACTTCCCAAAAGTTTCATGGGCAAAACTAAACCCACATTTACATACATCTAGTCCAATCTATGAAGAACCACCTTGTATTTTGTAACAAATATCCAAACAGTGAAGAACTCTACTCAGTGGGCCTAAGCAAGGAAAAATAAAATAGCCTTTTCTCTTTTGCGGGGTCTGGCCACTTGCCTAGCTCTATCTGACTCGAAAACAAAATTAATCTAAATTCAATAAATGAAAGCAAGGACTATTATGAAGGGGTTTAAATAAATTCGTATTATGTTCACAGAACATGCAGTCTTTTCCCATCAAAACATTACAAAGTGCTAAATAAGGCTACAATTAACAAGGTGCCAGAAAGCAGCAGAAGTACTTCCAGTTTCCTGGTGCCAATTAAATTAACCTCAATTGAAAGATAGAGTCCCTTACAAAGTTTTCCCTAACGATTTTTTAACAAGGGCGTCAGTTTTACCCAAGTTGTGAAGAGCTGAACTTTTGAACCAAAGTAGCACATAAACCACATTGACTTTATTCTTTCATTAGTAAAAAACTTTTAATCATTGATCTCAGCCATGTAAGTAAGAACAGCGTGTTCTTAGTATAGGGTAAAGGCAAACGGATAAATAGTATCCTGAGGAGCACACTGAAAGGGTTAGATTTACTTCTTGAGACAAATAAAAGGAAGCAAGGAAGGAAGGAAAGAAAGAAAGAGAGAGGGAGAGAGGGAGGGAGGAACAAGGGCAGGGAGGCAGGGAGGGAAAAAAGGAGGGAGGGAGGAAGCAAGGTAGATCGTAGCTCTCTCACTTTCCTAGTCAAATGACCCTTAACAACCTATTTCAAGAATGGGTATGTATGATAACATTTGTTAACATAAGCTAACTTTGTTAATTAAATCAGAAATGAAAAGCAGATGAATGGTAGGGAAAGTAGAAAATAAATACATTTTAAAAACTCAGAAGTTAATGATGAGCACTTTTCTTCAAAGATCTATTACTGGACTATTTTGACTACTAGAAAAACACGACTACACTGAGATTGCTATGCAAAACTTACCTGCACACCATTAAGGGATGCTACCCCCATATACAGGAACACGCCATAGAGTACAGGCATGGGAATAAACTAGGAGGAAAAAAAAATTGGAGAAAGGTTAAAACAATAATAATAATAACAATAACGGAGGGGGCAGTTTAAGTAAGGGCTAAATCTGAAACTAAAAGATAGGACATAATAATATAGTGACCTCTAGCTGGCGTGAGTTACTCATCATTGATAAACTTCTAGACCCTCTGTACTAGAAATAAATGAAGGAGGGGGAAGGAGACTTTCAATTTTCATCTGTTGCCTGTTTGCATTTTTTTTACAATGAGCATGCATGATCTTAATAAAAACTTTGTTTTAATCAGAAAAAAAGTTTCTGTTTCCCTTTCCCCTGAGAAGGAATGACTATGTAAACCAGATGCTTGCACGGACTGTGAGACAGAAAGAGAGGTAGAGGGCTGCCTCACTCCTGAGACAAAGTTCCTTTCCCAACAGTCTGATGATTTTTTCCTTAATAATTTTTGCCAAATGATCTATCAGCTTGGTGCGTAAATGCCTCTTTCAATTAAGTAAACATCAAACGACTGTCCCCTTTCTTCCTCTCAGGAATATTAAGAGGACTAACTAATGAGAACCTGCTTGAAAGGAGCATCGAGCATCTGGAAGCAATTAATTACACACGTGGATTAATACATATCTTTTAAATCTGAATTAATACATTTTCATGCATTAATTAGCAAAAGTCTTTTATATTAATACAAAGTGTTTTAACAACGGGAGGTTTCAAAGCAATGCTTGTAAGTTTTATCTCTTTCTAGATCTTTGAAATGTCCCTAGTACTGCAAAACTAAGCAGAACAAGGATGATTCTGTTTTTGGGAAATCTTCTGTCTGGACAACAAAAGGTTCTCAAGTTTGGATTTTGAAAAGTTCAAGTAATTTCAGGAGTTTTCAAAAACTGCAATCAATTAAGTCCAATCTTAACAAATCTACATAAAGGAGGCTATTGTAGCCAGAAAACAGTATGATTTTAGAGTAATTTTTAAAGAACCATCACATGTGTTAAGTAAAGCACAATTTCTATCAACCTCTCCTTGTAGTTACCTAAAACAGTTCTGTATCTGAGACTCTTTGGCCACTACTGGAGAAATAGTAAATTCCAAAATGTGTCACGACGGTCTCCAATTGTTATTGGTTAGCTACAGGAATCGTTAAATTTATATGGAAGAAATATACGTATTTATATAAAACATCACATGCTTCTTCTAAAAAAGACTAACAATTTTAACATAGCTAATTTGATTTTGAGTTCAGAAAAAAATAAATGACATCAAATGTCGAAGGGAGTGGGAGGGACAGTGTGAGTGGTGGGGAAGCCGTGTAAGCTGTAATACCCAACAGTCACCACAAAGAGGTGAACACATCCCGTTCAAGCCACCTGAGTTCTGACACGTGCCTTTATTTCCTTCAGAATGTGCAAATTTCCATTCCTTACAAGTCCTCTGTACAAATTTTCTAAAAAATAAAAAATGAAACTAACAAAAGGACCATTTTACGGCTTTGACTCATTTCTTAATTTTTTAAATATCTTCTGCAGGCAAGGGCACTCTCATTTTTCTTAATATATGATGATTTCTTTCTTGTCATTTCATTTCTCATTCCTTGGGAAGGAAAGAAAGGTCGAAGGAAGAAAGAAAAGTATAGTTCATGGGAAACTACTCAGAAATCCTGCAGTAGTTACTTTTTAATCCAAGTAAAGTGTTTTTCTGGCTTGAAAAAAGTAATCATAAAGGTGATCCCGGGTCTTAGCTCTACTCCTCATCTATGTTTAGCTCAATATCTTCTCTAGAGGGAAGGAAAGTCGTGCCTTGGTGCCTAGGTCTATTCTCTCTGAACATAAGATGACAGACATGGTTGAATCTACTACAAAATAAAAGCAGAAGGTACCCTTAACTCAGAACGGGGTACAGGTAAGAAAATAGCTTTAGATATGATGATGTTTTTAAAAAATTATTCTTTGGTGAAAAGGAAATAGTACGTACAATGAAGGTTATTAAATCGATTTTTGTCCAACTTCAATGTGATACAAATGTCTTATGAAATTCATCATTTTCTTTATGATAGTGCAGTGTCTCAATAAAAATATTCCAGTTTAGGGGACCGGCCCTGTGGCCAAGTGGTTAAAGTTACGCATGCTCCACTTTGGCAGCCCAGTTCGCAGGTTCAGATCCCAGGCGCGGATCTACTCCACTCATCATCCATGTTGTAAAGGCATCCCACACACAATATACAGGAAGATTGGCACAGATGATAGTTCAGGGCTAATCTTCCTCAAGCAAAAAAAAAAAGAGGAAGACTGACAACGAATGTTAGCTCAAGGGTGAACTTTCCTCACCAAAAAAAAACAATCTTCCAGTTTGGAAATCATGATGAAATTTGACCAAGTTACTGGGTTAGGGGATATTTTTTATTTGATTTGGTTCATGAGTCATATCAGAAGGTCGATCCTTAAAAATTCATCACAATGGAATCATTCATTACAATAGAAATTTCCCAAAAGGAAGGAAAAGAAGATATGCTTTAAAAGATGGGATCCCATTTTAAGTTAACTAGTATAATACACATAGTAATAGCAGGTAGACATTTTCATAAAGCAAGACAGGAGAAATTAAAACATAAAAAACACAAGGGATGCTAGGTTCATAGGCATATCGAGAATTGCCTCTATATTCTCGATAAAATTATGCAAAGAAAATTAAATTAAATAAATAATCAATCATACCCAGCAAGTCAAAAAGCATAATTATAAATAAATATTACAATGCTTTTAATAAACGTTAAAAATGAAAAAATTAAGTGTTTGATCCTACAACCAGATAGAATAATGAAATTGAGATGAAGCCAATAAAGATTTAACATATTCAGCCTATGTCACCAAATTTTTCAAATTCTGGTGAATGTAGTTCTACTCTTTTTCACTTATCTGTCTCTTTGATTTTCTGATAATGTTAGAACATTCCCATAGGAACAATAATGTAAAAAGAGTAAATTTAATAAGAAAGGTAGATTGCAGCTGTCCACAGCACAGAATTCAGTACATGAGTTAGGCCTCTCAGCAGAATAAGAGTCATTGTGTGTGTGTTGTGTGTAAAACCCAGAATGAGGAACTGATTAAGAGCATAGGAATAGAAGTTAGACAGACCTGGATTCCAATTCTGATCTATCTGTTGTGGAACCCAGAGAAAATTATCAACTTCTCCTATTTCTCATCTATATAGTGGTTATAAAAATAAAGATCACATAGCACAAAATACCTAGTTTAGGGCCTGGCTCATAATAGATACTCAATAAATAAGTGTGGTACTGATGTCATTATTATCATCAGGACCTTAACTGGCAAGTCAGAAGGCTGCAGCTGCAAAGCACAACTCTCTGGTCCCTCTGTGGGCGGGGGGGGGCGGGGTGGCAGGAGAATTGGCTAGAAGCATGGCTGCAAAAGTCAGACTCGAAGCCTTGGCTTTATTTAAGCTCTACAATATTGCTCTTTTAACTATAAAAACTGTCTTCAGGGCCGGCCCCGTGGCTTGGCGGTTAAGTGCGCGCGCTCTGCTGCTAGCGGCCTGGGTTCGGATCCCGGGTGCGCACCAACGCACTGCTTCTCCGGCCATGCTGAGGCCGCGTCCCATATACAGCAACTAGAAGGATGTGCAGCTATGACATACAACAATCTACTGCGGCTTTGGGGGGAAAAAAAAATTAAAAAAATAAAAAAATAAAAAAAACTGTCTTCAGGAACATGTTATTAAAATAATATCCTACTGCCCTTAAGTATTAAAAGCTGGACCCATAAGGAAGCTGCCAACTTGCAATCTGGTCCCTAGTCATTGAAGAAACCATGCAGTGCGGCATGATAAGGAGTGTGTGAAAACGCCACGTTTCTCTCCACATAAGACAACTGGAAACTGGATCAAAGAAATTGCAGAAGATCACCTCACAGGGAAATAAAAGTAAATGAGTTCTTTGAGGGCAAATACTATTTTATTTTAAAAGGCAGTAAACTATGATGGTTATGAGATCAGCCTTTGGAGTCAGAACTGCCTGAGTTCAAATCTTGTCTCTACCATTTAAGAACTTGGTGATCTGGCAAGTTATTCATAATTTTTCTTATCTGTAAAATGGATACAATTATATTTTTCGTAGGTGTTATTGGAGAATTAAATTTAAAAAATTGGTGCAGAACCCTTAGTCCAACGCCAAGCTCAACAAATGAGAGCTAGTATGACAATTATCATCACCATCATCTTCACTGTCCTGTCTCCTTGTTTCCCTGTGACTGAGTAGAGTGCGTGGTACATTGCAGGAGCTCAACAAATGTGTGCCAAAAACAAATTAAAGGCTATCCTCCACATTTTAGAACACTAAACAAATCTAAAAGATAAATTTTGGCCACTCTTCATGTTAAAGATAAACTAATTTGAGCAAAGGCAACAGAAGTAGCAGTGAACTTTATTTGATCTTTATTTCTTAGGCTTGCCAGAAGAATGGGAAAAGTTAGCTCAGGAACTGCCTTTCATCTTTGTGCTGCTCTTTGGTCTCCCCTAGTCTCCCCTTACAAAACGCTAGTTTCACAGGCAATATTTCCACTGCAGAAACACAGATCTAAACTGTTTAACCAGCCTGGGAAGGCAGTTATTCCTGCTTCCCAACAGTTCTGTACTGAATCAGTGGTGAGATTTGAGGCATGTATGACTGTAGCTGGCTAAGGTCAAGGGGTATCCTCGTGAACTTAAAGCTAGTGCACCATGATTCCTCACACTCTCCCATGTAAAAAGACAAATTTTAGCAAAGAGATCAAAACAGAGGTCATAAACTTCATGTTCAAAGTAAGCCTGCATAAGTAGGCATGGGGACCAACTCCCTATACTGCTTAATGCATGGGAGAAAATTACTAGGACCATCTGAGGCCACTAAACTTGTGAAGGATGCAGGGATCCGGGCAGGAAGGTGTTGAGCCGTTTCATTTTAAAAAGTAAAAGTCACATATTACTCTTGATCCTATTCATTTGATCTGTCTTTCAAAGGCAGACTCTTAAGTAAAACCGTTCTCTAAAGTTGTCACCTGTTGCTTTAAAACACTCATAGTCACATGACGGAGGAAAAAGGTTCCCTCCTCCAAGGTAAACCCTGATACCACTTTCTGTGTGAATTCTGAGGTTAATTGTTAATCTTGACTTTTACTCAGTCACAACTCAGGTTTTAATTCAACTGTACCCTCAACATCTGCTTCTTCCTGTATTGACTTTTCATATGAGCTAACATGGGCTCTGTGGTAAATGCACATAATTTACCCAACTTAAGTGGTAAGAAGGACACATGATCTGAAATTAGCTGATGTGATTCCCGAAGTAAGGAACAGCCTTACTTTCTGAAGTCAAGACTTGGAACCAACCTAAGTGCCCATCAAGGGAAGAATGGATAAAGAAGATGTGGTATATATACACAATGGAATACTACTCAGCCATAAGAAACGATGAAATCCAGCCATTTGTGACAACATGGATGGACATTGAGAGTATTATGCGAAGTGAAATAAGTCAGAGGGAGAAGGTCAAATACTGTATGATTTCCTTCATTAAGTAGTAGATAACAATAATAAACCATCACATAGAGACAGAGATTGGATTGGTGGTTACCAGAGGGGATGGGAGGAGGGAGGAGGGCGAAAAGGATAATTCGGCACGTGTGTGTGGTGATGGGTTGTAATTGGTATTTGAGTGGTGAACATGATGTAATCTATGCAGAAATAGAAGTATAACGATGTACACCTGAAATTTATACAATGTTATAAACAATGTTACTGCAATAAACAAAAATTAAAAAATAAAATAAATAAATAAAAAAAAAGAATCACAATAGACGATGCTAGACTATTTTATTCTTGTTTTTTTAAATCTAGGTTTCCCACAATACATTGGAAACTATAATAACAAAACAATTTCATTTCCCATATTTTAGGCAAAACCTTGCCTATTAAAACGTTTGCTAGACTACATTTTTTACTGATTTTTACAATGACTCTTCGCATTGACCCAAAGTTGCCAGGTGGAAATAGCCACAATTATGGATACCAGCAGCTGAATGAGGGTGAGCCAAAGCATGGATTACTTAAGAAGGGTCAAAGGAAAAGCAAGCTCACCCTCATTGATCCCATACGTCTCTTTCTCCTTTCTCTGTATTCTAATCTGTTCCTGTAGATACTAAGGTGCTTTGCATATCAGGGGCAAAAAGAATCATTGTGAAATAAAGAACAAAAGGGCTTTCAGCTTTAACTCCTCTGCAGCCATATTTGGGTGCAGAGAGCGAAAATAGTGAGGAAGAGGCGTTGCTGAAAATGTGAGTCTTGCATCTCTTCCTAAAAATAGTAATTTATACAGTATCTGTTCTCTGTGTCCCTTTGGAATTAAACATGATTACTCATCTGACAGATTCTCCCAGATTAAAGCCAATTTGCTGTAACAACAACAACAAAAAGAACTTTTTTGGATTAGGATTTTATACTGTATTAACCAAAAGAAATATTAAAAGAAAAGAAAAAATGGGTAAGGGGTGATAAGTACATTTGAACTGATGGGAAAGATTTCTTACTCTTTATCCCTTACTTAGTGGCTAAGCACTAAGAGACCCCATAAAAGAAGCTTTGCAGTTGTGTCACGTGAGCCCACCTTCAGGGAACCCAGGGGCAAATTCATTCCTAGTAGAGCCTCCCACAACATGAGGTCATAATTGCCCACAATGACCTCTCTAAAAATTGATCTGTCCAGATGAGGTCCCATTGCCTATGCAGTAAAATCCGTCATTAGACTTTTCCATCAGCTGATGTGCTGATGTCTGTGGGGCAACAGAGGAACATAAAGCATTTTGGCAGTGGATTTGATGCTCTGAAATTCACAACTTCAAACCTACTTCATAACTTGCTTTGCACTGGCAAAAGTGACAATAGATTTCCCTCTGTCCCTACAGAACATAAGATCTGTACTCTTTTAAGGTCCTCTGTATATAACCAGGCACAACTTCTTTGAGGTTATTTTTAATTTTACTTACCCATGTGTTATATAAGATACATATTCCTTCACGATTCCAGTCAGAAATTAATTAAACCAGTTAATTAACATTGTAGAAACCAAGGACAAAAGATGAATATTTAAATCCTTTAACTGTTTACGAAGTATTTTGTGCATAATGCATGCATTAATCTGAAGGCAAAGTCAGTCTTAGCTGTAGGTTAAGAAATTACAGTTCCACTTTCCTCAAATTCATCTAATTGGCAATTTTTTGGAAAAAAATAGAGGGTTTTTGCTTTTCACTATCTCTACTTCTGTATTGTTTGTATTCTTTATAAGAACGTATTGCTCCATAACTTGAGCAATTAAATAAATATTTTAAAATGCTAAAAATTAGAATTGTTTAAAAATAAACAAAAATTTTCAGAGATAAATTTGGAAAAATATTGTTAACAGTGGTTAATTATAGCTGTTAGGTCTATAGGTGATTTTCAAACTTTGTTCTGTGGTGTAAGACACAAATTAGCAATAACTGGCTAGTATTGTTTATATAACAGAAAAAAAGAATAACAGGCTTGTGTCACAAAAGAAAATTGGAAGCTTCATGACAGGTCTATACTAACCTTCTTTTTTAATCCTATCTCTGCTTCTAAACAGGCTTTTACATATAGTTTATCTATTTAGGCAGATATTCACACCATCAATCAAAACTTATATATTGACTCCTAACTTTCTAAATAATCTATCATATCATTTTTCTTCTTCAAACGTTCATTTCTAAAGTTTTCCAGTCAAAAATCGGTCATTTTACTCTATTCTTCCTTTGTGGATATTAGCCTTCTGATTCAAAGAAAATAGAAACACAGCAATAATTAAGAATAGGAGAAAAATTACAAAACGATCATCCTGAGTCATTCATGTTATCCAGGAGTCTAACGTGGGGAGGGGGCAGGATTTAGGGACAAGTAAATGGAAAGTGATGGGAAGAAAGGATGTAAGGAGACTAGGAGAGTAAAAAACATGGGAGGAGGGTAGAACAGTTAGTTAGACTGAATTGTCAAACTGCCATTTGCATAAGTCAAAAAGTTTGAATATTGGTAATTTGATATGGTTCAACCAAATAACTGCAATAATAATAATAATAGAAGGAGTGAAGAAGTAAGAAGGAAATCAAGATAAAAGTTTTTTAAAGTCCTCATTCTACCTGACCCCCGTTTCAGTGTGTTATAGAACTGATGAGATATTGCAGATATTTCATAAGTATTTCTACTTTTCACATAGCCAATTATCTGTCAGTATTCTGAGGAGGAAGAGGCAAGTATTCCGCATATTTACCTTCAAGATGGGAGCCATAAAGACTGACAGACCAGTCAGAATAAACACAAGGGTTCCAGTGACTCTTTGTTCCCTGAAACCAAATCAAAAGATTACCAATCTACCTCTTATTTTCAGAAACATACTCTTGTCTTTTCACCTTCAAAAAAGACTATACATTGACCAAATCAACGTTTGGCTAAAACAGCAAAGGTGTTGATATCATATGTAATTAATACCTCAAGGATAATATATAAGCTCAACATAACTACAAAATTCTCTTAAAACCATTGCAATACTCGATTTGAATTCATCAAAAGAAAAGTGATGCTGCTAAATCCTTTGCTCCTTTTAGAATTAAGAAAGAAAAAATCACTTGCTCTTGGTCCATCAATTACTGGCCTTTTTGAAGCCCTTATTTTTTTAAACAACTTGTACTGTTGTGTAATTACACCTTCTTTCACTGGAGACAGATATTACATTGTCCCACATTCTAATTAACAAACAGCTCAGGGAAATTTCATAAGTGCAATAAATCCCATCAGTCTTATTTCCAAATCTACAACAACAAAAGTACTTTTTAACAAATATGATTCCCATACAACACCCCCTCCTCCAGCCCCCAACAAAGAATCACCCACTGTTGTGGCGTGGGAAACGATGGCTCTGTCATGTGAGCTATTTACCCAAGCACTTAGGAGCAGGGTTTACTGCAAAAAATATGCAACAGTGTATAAAGGTCTTGTATACGCCCTTCATGGCTACCCAAATTAACAGCTGGAGGTCAAAGTTTCTCAATGCTTATGGGGACAGAAAATACACTGGAAAATAACAACTTCTTTCCCTTCACAGAATCTTAAAAATCATAAGCAGACTCAAGAATTTTAGGAAGTCTCAATAGAGCTGAAAGATGAAAGGGTTTGGCCTTTATGATTGTGATAGAGTAAGTACACAGCACCAAAATGTCCCACATGTCGAAGAATATGAATGACCTGTTTGCGTTTTTACGTTGTATCGTTTAGCCTTTCATTAATCAAAGGAAATTTATGTATTTGTGTATGTAATTTATGTATCATAAGAAGTAAACTCAAAAAATTATTGAAGACTCTCTTTCTGATTTGTTCTTTTCTTGAACAGCAAGTACAGGAATAAATTAATCATCACCGCCTTTCTCCTCCACATCTGCCTTATTTCCTTATGACTGACACATACATGTGCACGATGTGTTTTGTAGAGCCATTTTCCTCTGACTTAACATACCTCACTCCTAGAAATTTTGGTTGTTCTCCAGGTGCAGAAGTCTCCGTCTCCATCTTCAAACTGTCGATGTGAGCAATAGAGATGACGGTAGCAGCCACATACCACGGAAGAGCCATGAAGGAGCACACCACCATGAGGATAGCCACCCAAAAGAGGTCCAGATGATATCCAGCTCCTTTCTGCAGAAAAAGGTAACAAAACTATATGGAGAAAATACTCATATTTCTATATCATCATATTTCCAGATGGGAATTAAGATTACCAAAAGAAACCAACTCACTTTGCTTGACAAAAATATCTACTACACGGTAAGTTCCTTGAGGGAGGGGACTTTATCTTCCTCATCTTATTCCCCCTACCAGTTAAACACAAAGCTGCCACACGATACCTCCTTTAGCTTGATTTAAGTCATAGCTAACTTATTATTTGTTTATGTTAATTATCCTCTCTGCATTCAATTTTGTAATCAGAGCAATGGAAGTATATGTCTACCCTGAAGAGTTATTAGGATCATTCAATGAAGTAACAGAGGCAAAGAATCTTGTAGGAACTTAAATGGTAGCTCAATTACACCGTGGGAGCTCAATAAATGATGATAGCAGCAGTAGTGGTATTGGTGGTGGTTGTTAACATCAGCACGATAAGCACCTTAAAAGCATACACTATGCCTTCTCTGCTTGACTGTTTAGAGGTATGCTATTCATCTAGACAGTCTTCAGCATATGTAGACTAAAGATTTGAAAGCAACCTTTAGAAGGTATGTAGAAGACCATTTCTCGTATCATCGTATATAAAATACGTATATAAAAATAATTGTTCAACAATCTATTAAACATTATCATTAAGGTAATTAATACCCCCTTAATCAGAAGAGGCTGATTTCAAACACTGCCCTATGGTCACAATAACATTTACTGACTGGAGGAGCAGACAACATAACAAAAGATCTAGCTCTTTTACTCACTAAATAAATATTTTTAAATGTGTCCACAATGTTATTCTATGGTTATATTTCTCTGCTCTATTTATGAAGAAATCAAATGCTTAATACCCCTATGGAGCCAGAAAAAATAGAGCAGTCCATTTTCACAGCATGGAAGCAGCAGCATTAAGAGCCAGAGTATGACCAATCCAAGGGAATGGGCAGGCTGGCTTTAAAAAATGAGAATGCAATCTACCCTAGGAACCTGGTGCCTGTTATCATTCAGATCCTGTTACAGTTAGTCAGAACACCGCTCTCCTCTCACTGAAACGCCAAGATTTCACCCCTGGCTCGCACACATGGGTCTAATCACGTTCTCAGAGAACTCATCACAGGCAAGGGAAGCCGACGCAAGAAAGAAAAGCATATATTTACTTAATCCAGGCTTGACTAAGAATGAAAATCTCCTTGGGAGACAAATAGGTTACTATATTTTCAGCAAACCAGTTCATTTCAGCTTAAGTGGTTTGAAAGCATAAGGGTTTGAACTGGGAGTGGGGTAAGACAGGGGAAGGAGGTCGAAGGTCAGGATGAGCAGAAATATACTTGTTCAATAGTGATGAGGTGAATATCATGATATATCTGGGATCTCAGTTATTTATTCTTTCAACAAATATTGACTGCCCATTTATTAACAGGCACAGTTCTAGGTGTTGGTGATATATTTGTGTGTAAAACAGACAAAAATTCCTGCACTTATGAAGTTTCCATCCTAGTGAGGGAAACAACAATAAACAACATAAATAAGTAAACTATACAGTATCTTAACTAGTAATAAGTACTAAAGAGAACTACAAGAACTTGGGCTTATATGCTGAGTACGATGGGAAGCCACTGGAGGGTTTTAAATGGAGGAGAGACATGATTTGCTTATGTTCATCGCTATGGCTGCTGTGTTAGGAACAGACTGAAGAGAGCAAGGACAATAAGACCAGTTAAGAGGTTGCTGCCATAATCCATGCAGGAGACTGTGATGGTTAGAACCAGAGTAGCAGTAGTGAGGACAGCAAGACGTGGTTGGATTCTGGTTATATCTTAAGGTGTTCAAGGCTTACAATGTCTAGTATAGTGTCCTACATAGAGTAAATACTGGAGACATATTTGTCGACAGAATGGTAAAAGCTATGCTCAAAAATTCATGGTGCCCCAACTATTGCCATAAAGACCCCAGAACCCAAATGGTTATGTTAGAGAAGTTGCACCTGCAAAACAAGCCTATACATATGAAAACAAACCAAGTCTAAGATGTCTCTTTTAGCTAAAAGTATCTGAATAACCAGATTTGAATGGAATGAAAATAATATTCAAATATTGAGACTTTTTATGGAAATAATACTGTAAGAAATACAGAAAACAGCATTTTTCTAAAATAACATGTGAAGTCTTTTGTTCCTTACCCTTCCTCTCTACTGCCACTGCCTTTTTCACATTCTTCTAATTTCTCACCTGGACTACTCAGCAGCCTCCTGATCACTCATCCTCCACCCACCTCCACTCTCGCACCTCTCCCATCCATCCTTACTGCTGCCAGAGTCAGGGTCTACAATGCAGCTCTGATGCCATCCATCCAGGCTGGAACGCTGAGGGAGCAGAGGAGGCCAGTGGGAGATGAGCAGACCAAGCAGGAAAGAGCATGTCATGACAAGCCTTGCTTGCCATACTGAGGCTCCTGCATCTGAGGCTGTGATGGGGGCCCTCAAGGATTCCTGAAACGGTCATTCCCTAAACGTGCCTTGCACATTCTGCCCCACTCTTCACACCGGCACTCTACTTATACGTCTTGACATTTGTTTAAATCCATCCTCTCCCTTCAAGGTCCAGCTCAAATCCCCTGGCTTCCTTCACATCACCAGCAACCCTCAGCCCTCGGTGCCGCTCTCACCACAGAAGTCCCTGCTTTACTCTTGTTCCTGACAACCCACTCTCCTCACAGAGTAATTGTTTTAAAATCTCAATCATTACATGGCACTTCACTGCTCAAAACCCTCAAGTGGCTTCCTGTTTCACTTAGAATAAAACCTAAACACTGTAAAATCATCTATAAGGTTCTATATCAGTTTTTCTTCCTGGAACTATTTTGCCCTCCAGGGGACATTTGGCAATGTCTGGAGACATTTTTGGTTGTCACAACATGGGGAAAATGGTACAGCTGGCACCTAGGGGGTGAGATGCCGCTAAATAGCCTATAATACACAGGACAGCCACCAACAAGAAAGAATTAATCAAAATGTCAATAATGCTGAGGTGGAGAACCTTCGTTCTATGTGGTCTGGCCCCACTCCCTTTGACCTCATCTTGAATCACTAACTCCTCTATGTTCCAGGCACACCGGCCTGCCTTCTGTTCCCCACCACACCAAGCTCCTTCCCACCCTGCAGCCCTTGCTTTTTCTCATATCTTTGCTTGTAAAACTAATATTTAATAAACATTCATTGAACACCTACTCTAGGCCAGGCCTTGTGTTAGATAAAACAATAAATAAGAGAGAACACTTGCCCTTAAGGGGTTTACAGATTATTAGTTGAAGCCAGATGTGGAAGAAAATAATTTATTGTATGTGCAAGATACAAGGCACAAAGAAAGGCAAGGTCAATTTCAACCTTGGTGGTGGAGATGGGTGGTGAAGAGGGAAAATCCACTAAACCCCTTCAGGGCAGAACCATAACTGAGAACAATTTTTACCTTTAACATCTAACGCAAGTGTTCTATACATAACAAGGACTCAATAAATGCTCAAGAGATTAAGTATGTCCTTAAAAGTTTAAAAAAGTCCTTGTCTTCATGAACATAAATACAAAGGATGTTCTACTTTCTGAAACTGGAGATTATTTTAAGTTTAAGGATAGAAAGTGAAACTTTACTTCCTTTTGATATTGTATATGCTTTGCTAATACAGAACAAAAGTCATTTTTGGAATAAATCCATATAAATCAAAATCTTAGAGATAAAAAGACTAGCCTAACAGTCTAAATTTACATCTAGAAATACATGATAGCAAAGGGGTCAGGAGCGGTACAAACACAGGGGCAGACACAGAATAAACATTCATGCTAGGAGCCCCCCATGAGCCAGACAATGAGCTTGTTTATGGGGACACCAAGAACCATGACATAGTTCCTCCCACCAAAGGGCACACAATCAGATGAGGGGATTCAGATTTGTACACAAATTATAATGCACTCTAAATAGAGATTCAAAGAGGTTTGAAAAGACACCCAAAAGTAAGAGGATAAAGTGTTTAGTGCTGCCTGGCGTGAACCCACCAAAACTTTCTGCAGTGATGACATCTAAACAGGGCTTTGAATAATATAAGCACTCACTCTGAGAACTGGAGAGGGGTTGGCACGTTTTTCAGTCATCACCCGTCTCACACAGTGCAGCAACTCTGCGAGTCATGTGGCCCAAGATAACAAAGTTCTTCAACATGGATTTATTGAGTCTACCATATGGAAATCATTGCGAGGGGCCACACAAGCACTGGAAAGAGGACTAAAACATCGTCTTTGCCTTGAAAACATTTTGGCCCAGAAAAGGAGATAAAGTCATTACACAATTACACAAAATAACTACCAAACAAGACATCATGTGCCCAGTGCCACAGACTAATACAAATATACTAAGAGCAAAAAAAGGGGAATAGAAATTACGCCAGGAGTGAAGGCTACACTGACAAGTTTTTATATTCGGAGGATCTTAAAGGATGGGGAGGATTTTGATGTGGTAATTGTTGAGGAATGGAGAGGAAAGCTGGAATAACTAGCAGAAGAAACTGCCAGATTTGAGGAGAAACCAATAATTCATTTGACCAGAGCCCTGTATTGTGGAGAGAATCATTTTAAATCTAGGTTGAGATCATATCACTAAGAGACTTAAATCCCAGGCTAAGGCTTAACTGACATTCTTCAAGGGGCAAAGGTTTAGCGAACCAAGGTGAAAAGATTTAGAAATATAGGACTGACATATAAGAACAATGCTTTAAAAAAAATTACCGCTTTTGGAATGAAGTAAGGGAGACTGGTTATTAACGCATGGCTAACCATTAGAATAGTCCAGACATGAAATAAAATGACTGCGTCTAAGGTTATGATAGCAGGAATAGAAAGGAAAAATAAAAATGGCAAATTTTGGAGTTATCTAAGAAAACACACTCAAATTAAGGGTTTTACCATAGAGGATAGCAGAGAAAATTTATTGTTA